ATCAGTTTCACAATGAAAAGGGGGATACAAATGAAATATTTTTAAGTGCAAATATTTGCAAAATTTCCGCAATACATTTTCTAACATAGTAATATAAACCTGGTAATAGGGTGACCATATAGTACTACAATATTCTAACTTAGATCTTATTAATGTGTAAAACAACAATTTAATACAATGGATATTTTTAAATTCACTGGTGTTTCTTATTATAAAACCTAGATTTTTTAAACATGCTTTTACAGTTGCTTCAATATGCGGTATAAACGTTAGCTTCTGATCAAATATAATACCAAGATCCTTATACTGATTGCAATGCTCTAATGGTATACCGTTGATATTATAATAGTAGTTATGGCTTATTCATTTCCTCGTATAACTCACTTGTTTACACTTATCTATATTGATTTCTAGAGCATTATCAGAACACCATTCAATCAATTTGTCTAAACTATGTTGTAATTGCAGGCAGTCATTAAAACAATTAATTACATTTATGATTTTTAAATCATCTGCATAGATCAACGTTTTGCAGCCTGTATGTCTTGCATCATCATTGAAAAATATAACAAAGAGCAGAGGTCCAAGTGTGGAGCCTTGTGCGACACCACTTTTTACATCAACATCAAAGGATTTAAAACCACCATATTCAACAAATAGCTTCCTCCCCGTAATAACAGATCTTAATACTGTAGCGGCACAATAACACATGGGTAAGCAGAGCAAAGATAAGTTGTCTTGTGGTGTAGCGGTTAGCATACCAGCCCAGAATGCTTGGAGACGTGGGTTCGAATCCCACCGAGGCACAACATTTTTCTCTGCTTACCTATATTGGTGACCTCCGACAGGCAACGCGCACGCAACATCCTTCTGCCACCGCCCTGTGCCCGCTGTGTTCGGGGTCCGCAGCACCGCCAGGGTTCGAACAACAACCGTAAGAGTGGTAGGGGCGACGCCAGCATCTATCTCCTTCGCACCCCAGCACGACCGCGCGCTGTGTCGCTGGGGGGGGGAGTACTGTAGCGGCACAATAACACATGGGTAAGCAGAGCAAAGATAAGTTGTCTTGTGGTGCAGCGGTTAGCATACCAGCCCGGAATGCTTGGAGACGTGGGTTCGAATCCCACCGAGGCACAACATTTTTCTCTGCTTACCTATAATACAAACAACAAATTTTTACAAATACCGTACATTTCTAATTTTCTCAAAATTATGCAGTGGTTTACCCGATCGAAAGCTTTGGTTAGATCAGTATATATTACATCCACTTGCATTCGATTATCTAAAGCTGACGAAACAAACTGCGTGAATTCATATAAATTAGTTGCCGTAGACTTTCCTTTAACAAACCCATGTTGCTCCGGTGTAATATAGTTAATCACATGTGAGCAGATCTTATCTCCTAATATAGTTTCTAGAACTTTCGAGAAGTTTGACAAAAGAGCAATCGGCCTAAAATTACGCACGTCAGAGTTGTCACCAGATTTAAAAATTGGACTTATTTTAGATTTTTTCCAAACAGCCGGATAATTACAGGTGGTAAGTATTAAAATGTATATAACGGATCAATAAAACAGTTAATACAGTCTGCTACTAGAAAAGCAGGGATGTTATCTGGACCGCAGACATTATTGCACTTCAGTTTCTTAGCGGCTTTTATATATCTTCATCATTAATTCTAAATGAATGCAGCACAGCCAAATTATCACATAAATTAATCGGACGAGCAATACAGCACGTTTTCCTACAAAATGTGCATCCTTCATTATCATTATCACAGTCTTGATCAAAATCCTCGAAGAAAACAAGTTTCAGCTGTAAGATTTCGAAGCTCTGACTCCATAAGATCTATTTTATTAATTGTAGCGTTTAATTTAGCACGAATAATTGATTTTACCAATTGTTTAAATTGGTCCACCAGGAGGTTTATATTTTGGAAGCTGCTTAGAGTTTGTATCAGAAGGTGCAGTTTTTTAATTTTCAGAATGTACAGTTCCATTTAGTAAGTATATCACCTTCTTGGATTTTATCAAGTATTTCATCAATTAATCCTGCACATACTAGATGGTAATTGTATTTACACTGCTTGCATCTCCCGACTGTACGTGAACCTTGTTGCATTTAACCGCCATTCTAATTAAACCAGCAAGTTATCAATTGGAAATAATAAACGATCTTCAAGAGGAGGTAGCACAAGAAAAAAAACCACTCCGCGAAAGCACTTCAGATAGTAAGTACTCTGATAAAAGACAAGGTATAAACGATGACTAACTGTAGACCAAATTGTTGAAATTTTCAACATTGACCCAAAACATCCGAACCCAAAGTAAAAAAAAAACAACTTACCGACACCGACCCCCAAAGGGGTCAAACCAATCACTCAATTAGAAAAATCTGAAATTGTTTTGCTCAAAACAACCCAAGCAGAAACTTAACACATCCGTCACATTCACTCAGTGAAGTTAAATAAAAGAAGATAATTGTTGAAATGACTTTAATTATATTTAATAATACAAATTTAAACGTGTTACATTCCTTTTTAGTACGCCTACTAATATTGCCATTTCCCATTTTAGACTATTAACAATATTAATTAACAATTAACATAACAATTTTAACAAAACCTGTCCCCTACATTTGGATAAATCAATCCCAAATTGTTCGATTTCATTTAAAATTTCTCTTTCAAGTCCTACTGCAGTACAATCGGCTGCAGATCTAGGCCTCAAAAAGCACTCACAGATGTTAAATTCCGTAGATGTACATTGTTTTCTGTTATCGAGATATGTAGAACAACTACTGAAGGTTGCTCAGTTTTTGATAGATCTTTTGTTGTGTCCAAAATAATCGACAAAAAGGAGCTTTATGAATTTCAAAACAATATTTCTCCTAACATTGGTTCCAAGCAAATGAATATATTTTTTAATTAATTTCACCCTTGAATTGTAAAAGGAGTTTTTTTAAGACAGGATCAAAATCAGATAATAAGTGTAAAATTGACATGAAATTTTCGGATGTGCAATCATGGACTCTTAAAGGTAGATCGCACGACCCTAAAGTAATTATAACATTAATCAGACCAAGCAGTACATTTCGCCAGGGAGCAGTTCACTTTCATTTTCCAAATAAATATCAACCGTATTGCCTTAAAGCCAATTATTATAAGTCACAACCGAGTTAATATGTTGTGATTTTTCATGGCCAATAATAGTGTAAAATTGCTTCTGGTGGAAATGCCATTAATCCATGCGGCAAAAGTGATAACATGCTTGGTTTAAAATCATAAAGAAACCAGCTACAATTGAAACGAATGCCTTATTTAAGAGTAATGGAACTTTCAAAATCATGGCTTTGTTTCTGGATTCTTTTTGGAAATGGTCCTTCAGGTTTAAATGAGTCCAACTTAACAATTAGTCTTCTCTCATTTTCTGCAAGGAAATCCTCTCGTTGAAGAAAATATATAATCAGATTTTTGCTAATTTTAAGGTGATTTCGAAAGTAATTCAAAATGAGTTGCTTGATTTGATAACTGCTGTTTGTCAAGAAAAAACTGGTCGAAAGTTTTTACGACAGAACTTCCCTTGCTCCTGAAGTACAACGAAACATCCAGTATTTTCGAGTTGAGTCTATCTATCCTATCTAAAATATACAAAGTATTATCAGTCTATCATTGCATTCATATTTTTTAGATTTGCTTATACAATAGGGTAACTCAAAAAAATTAATGAATCAGTAAATTTATGACGTATACTTTTACTTTGAACTCTTGCAGGCATTTTAAAGTTAATGTAAGCATGGTAAATTGTTAATCTAAAAATATCTGTTTATTCCCCCTAGACAATTGATGACGTCATCTAAAATTTTGCCGAATAAATTCTACCCAAAATGCACAAAATATGAGTTTTACTTGTTATTTATGATTGCATTCATATTTCTTAGATTTGCTTAAACAACAAATGAATGTCTCAGTTTATTTTATTCATTAAATCAGAAACGGTTGACTCCATTTTCCCAGAAAAGTTTGGAAATACAGTATTGTAATTTTTAGTATTACACTGCACGAATCCAAGTTGATATAAAAAGTAAAGAAAAAACTGAACTCGAAAATGCTGGATATGTTTCATTGTACTTCAGTTCTGTTGAAACAATTTTCGACCAATTTTTTTCTATGTCCAATAATTGATTAGATATCGAGGATCGCACGCTCAGTGACTCACTATGTATATAATACCTAAATAGGTAACAATATAAATATATGTTCCTGATAACAAGAAATGTAGAAATTCAATTAACACACCAGCGTTTGATAACAAATTACAACTGAGAAAGGTGAGAAAGTTGATAGTGAGATGGAATAAATCCTTAATACTTATTAATTCTGCCAGGGAGGGCAGAATAGAGGAGAACATATTCTCCCCTTCCCGGTTTCGCACGTTGCTTTGTTCGCAGTCCGCCTGCGCGAAAAACAAGTATTGCAGTCCCTGTTCCCTTGTTGCAGTATTTCACATTTCAGTCAGGGAGGGTATTCTATGATTTCAGTCTTCAGCTTCAGTATTTGTGCTATGCCGTTGGCTTTGCCATTGATTGTTACGACGAAATCGTTGGTTGCTACAGAAAACGTATGTCGATATACATATTGCGGATTTCATTCACTGTTATTAACCTGTGTTAATAGCAATAATCGATTTTGCAAGAACGGGAGACGAAAAAAGCATCGCAGAACAATTTTTTAGAAAAAAAGAGACGATAAGCTCTACGTGAATTAATTAATGGCTTTATTCTGTTTAACATTTTGGGTACCTGTGTTAGAAAGGTATTGTCATAACTTTTGTGACACTGATGAGATCGTATTTTTGTAGGTAGCGACATTTTATCAATCAAACAAGCAAGGAAACTAAGCTATTGAAATTAAAGAACCAAAGCCTGTTACAGAAATCAGTCTTGTGTCCTCATAATGACTGATGAGGAAAAACTGTATACAGACCGTGAATTAATAGAACTACAGATCCAGCACCTTAGACCACGTTATCTTGAAGATGAAAGTGAGTACAAGAAATGTACAACTAACCTTGAACGAATGAATTTTTTTCTAAATGATGAGGAGGAAGTTGCACATATAAAATCCAAGATCAAGCAAATTAAACCCCACGTTACTAAATCTGATGTCAAGGCATCCGAATTAAGAAAATTTGGAAATGTTCAATACCAAAACAAAAATTATAAAGATGCACTGAAATTTTATACACAAGGTCTTAGTTTCGCTAAAAGTGATGAGGAGGTGTCATTTGCATATGGCAACAGATCTGCAGCACTTTTTGGTCTGGGTTTATATGAAGAATGTTTACAGGTGAGTCTTTAAATAAAATGCTGTGACTTTGAACATGCCTAAAAATCGGGAGATGTAGTGTGTGAATCTGTTGAGTTTTATTTAGTTAACTGAATTTTAACTTAGTGTTTTTGCCGAAGAAAAAACTTGTAACAACAAATATGCACAGGTATTATCTGCTTTAAAACAACATTCGAATTTTTTTATTAAAACTGCAACCGAGAAAAACGATTTGTCTTGCACCTACTTACCGTAAAACGATCCACTGAATGAATAATAATATATATTGTTCGCGGTCGTGGACGGACGTGTGTTGAGTGTCTGTGTCAGAAGTTTCAATTTTTTTATTGTTTGAATCCCTATGGGCCAAGGATCATGCCATAAGCTACTCCAATAATTTTGTCGTATCTCACACATCTAGTGCAATGGCGAGCTCGCTATTCAACTATAAATGCTGTGGTAAACCTCTTAATCACAATTATATCGGTATCAATTGTTTAAGTGTCTTCCATAAAAGTTGCTTGCCTCGAATTAAAGCAAAACAATTTATAGAAGGCAACAAAATAATGTGTTGCCCCACTAATGAGGTAACTAATATTAGTGAGAGTAGTCTTAACTCTAGTACGGATTTAGATTTGTTAAAGAACCAGATTAATGAGACAAAGGCTGACGTCATCCTAAAAGATAAACAAATCCAAAGAATGAAATCTGAGTTTGAAGTTTTTCAAAATGAAGCCATTAAAATGGAACAAGATTTGAATGTTCTTTTGTCTGAACAAAAAGCTAAAATTGACGAATTAACATGTTTTGTCAATAATTTTAACGCTAACTCTAATACTGTGGATTCAGGTAAAAAAGATCTTTTTACACAAACTTTTAATACACAAAAATTGCAGCTAATTGAAAAAGCAACTAACACAAATGCCAATAATCTCATATCGACTTCTTTTATTGATTTTAAAAGTAACGATTTTTCAAGTCACTACGTAGCCGATATCAGCTTAAATTCTTTTGTTTCCAACAATGGAATCAATGACACCTACCCATTACATGGGAAAACTAGGTTTGGAGATAACGTAGAGAAATTTTTACTTTTTAACGAACTTAGACTGAGCCTATCAAAAGACAGTAAAAATAAAATTTTAGACAATCAATTATCTCCCAAATTAAATCGCGATAAAATCTTAATTCTGTCCGACGAATCTGGGAAATTATTCATAAATAAAATGCGCACATTTGTAAACAACTCGTTTGAAATCATATCACTCGTCAAACCAGGGGCATTATTAAATAATGTTATTTGTGATATTGAAAAATTAATCAAAGACTTCACAAGTAATGATTTTGTAGCATTATTTGCAGGGAAAAATGATTTTCAAAATAACCAATACCCAAAACTCGAGAATATACTACACAAGTTGAAACTGTGTTCAGCAACTAATATCATTATGACATCAGTCTCTACAGGTTGGTAATAAACCTCATTTAAATAAGAAAACCATAAATTTTAATCGCAAATTAAAAACTCTTTTGGACATGACCAATAAGAGATTTCATAACTCTGTTTCTTTTGTTAACCTTGTTAAATGTGAAAATGGTAACCAAATACATAGAATAAAGACAGCTAAAGGAATTCTAGAAACAATCCACAAGGAACTGTTAAATGTAAATATTAATGGTCTTTTTTTATCTTAAAATCTCATCTAAACCATAATAAGTCTTTGATCTCAAATTGTATAAATGTTTTGTCCCAGAACTAAATCCTCGCTAGTTCTCTTCTATATAAATATACAATGTCTTAGAAACAAAATGTACGAGCTTGAAATTTTCTTAAAGGAGAATAGTGTTGATGTCTTATGTATAAGCTAGCACTGGCTAAATTTCGAAGAAAGAAACCTTTATAATTTTGAAAACTTTTTGATGAAAGCGTGCCACTGTAGAGTGTCCATGATTCACGGTGGAGTGTGAATATTTATAAAAATCTATACTTAATATTAAAGATATAGAACCAGATGCGTAGTGTGAAGAACTACATTTTGAAATTGCTGCCATTCATTTAGAAAAGATAAATACAATTGTGGTTGTCATTTATCGGTCACCCGATGGAGACTAAAATATTTTCTTTAATAAATTAACAATGTTTCTAGAGTCATTAACCTCTAAATACGGAAAAAAACATCTCGTTGTATCTGGAGATTATAACATAGATCTGCTAGTTAGCAGTAATAACAAAAATACATTTATGGACATAATCAATTCCTTTTACCTACATATTACTATTTTAGAACCAACAAAAATTAATTCAAAAAGCGCAACGTGTTACGACAGTATTCTTACTAATCAAATAAATGATTCTTCTTCACAGGTGGTGAAGTAAAAATTTGGAGACGATTTCGGCATTATGATGTACTTACCATACTGGGTTCAGACAAACCGCTAATTAAGTTTAGACCTATTACAAATCGGACGCTGTATCTTTTTTGTAAAAAGGTTTCCAGTTTTGATTTTTCCGGAATTTACTGTAGTAATTTCTCAGGGGAACAAGCGTTCGAGTTGTTCCTAAATTTACTACGATCTTTATTTTATGATAATTTCCCAGGAGTTAATAAGCGTTGTAGCGGTAAACTTAAGTCTTTTAAATGGTATACTCAAAGAACAAAAACGTGTTATAGACGCTTTAAGGGTTGTGCAAAATTGCGTAAATGATGCCGAAACCGGCCAAGTTATTAATCTGTTAAAGAATGTTTATAGGAAAAATCTAAGGAAAGCGAAAATTTTTGCTAATGACAACTTTGTTATGTTGGCAACTAATAGGTCTAAAGCTGTATGGCATATTAATGTCGAGAAAAAAAATCCACTAACTGCCAGAACAACATTAGTCCAAATTTTACAATAGACTTGTCAGATGATACCTACCAACCTCAGTTTTGCCAATTCCGGATACATAAATAGCAGCCCTCGTAGTAGTTCCAAACAAAAGCTCAGCTGGACTGTATCCAGTAACTATGTGTTTTATACTGTTTAAAGACAACTGGACCTCACCCAAACTATCTTACCAATTTTGCTCACTCGCGGTTTCTAGAGTAGTCAGAACATAACTGGGAGCCATCAAGAGCTGTCGAAATGTCAGAAGTTTTTAAGTTTTTTCAGTAAGGCTCTGCTAGTGCTGTAATTTCTTCTGAAACCAAACTGAGGTGAAGGTAGAACATTATATTCATTAATGTATTTCATAATTCTGCAGGCTGTAATATTCTCAATTATTTTTTATGTGAGTGGCAGTATACTAATCGGACGCAATTCTGTCAATTTAGTCGCTTTCGTAACTTTGGCCAGCGGAACAACAACTGCTTTTTTCCACACTCTAGGAACCAAAGCTGATAAGAAGGATGTACTAATTAAATGAGTATTTCTGTCACCACAGAAAGGAAAAATAAGTTTAAGCATATGCAGACTTATGTTATCTAATCCGGTGGAGTTAGATTTTATAGATAATAGAGCATTTTTGATTTCTTCCGTAGTTCTTAATGTAAGTTCTAAAGTTTGATGTGGATTGTGGTATTTATTGCAGTTAAAGAATTCCACGAAATTGGAGTCAATAGAGGTTGAAGAAGCGTTGCTAAAGAAATTGTTTATGCGATCTGGATCAGTAGTTCAGATGCTATTTCGTTAGATTTTCGTTGATGTACGCCAAGATAACTAAACGTGTTTTGTCTTTGAGTTATTATTTCTTTTATCGTGTCGGTTATTTAAGGTTTACCAGCTCTCTTAGTGGTGATGGTTTTGAGAGGAGCATGAACGTCGAAGAGGGCTATTATTGCTGAGTTAAAAAAAAAATAAGTTTTCGTCAGTAGATTCAAGGTTAATAATATGATTCCAGTTTATAAGGGAGGCATCTCGGGAAAATTCATTTGTAAAGGGGAAAGGTAAATCGCTTCAACTCCTATCTTTCCCTTGATGAAAATTTGCAGCCCTAGGCGACTAGATCAAAATTATTTTGAAACACGTATCAAAATACTTAAAACTTCTCTAGGTAACCGTATAAATTTTATGGTTTGGAAATTGCAAGTTAATTTCACAAAAAGTTAGCATGTGATCCGTTACATCTTGTAAGTCTACAGTATCATGATCTAGGAGTTCTCTGGATGTCTTTAGGCATATAATATCAAGAACAGTTGCTGAATGTTTATTAATCCTTGTAGGTGAATTGATCACTTCTTTGAGGTTAAAAATATCCAAAACACGATTTAATTTTTGTAATCGACTACTTGAAACTAGGAAATCTAATATAGACTCATAGATGAGTAAAATTTAGCTCATACTAGGTCGACAAGTGATTATTGTCCTTGACTTACTCCAGTTATAATCACTAGTCTTGAATTAATGATTGTATGGAACTTCATCAATACTTTAATTTTTGAATACCTGTTATCGCTATAAAATACCCAATATACGTAATGGAAGTCATATAAAAGTTTTTCTAATCTTTCATGACAAAGTTATTTGCCAGTAATATGTAACGAATTTCATGTATATTTTTGTTAGTAATTCCGTAATTATTTTGTTCTGTCAACTGAAATTGATTTATAAAATACTAGTAATATTCTGTCAAATTTCAGAAAACTTATTTACACGACTCAAAACTAAATCCCTGTGACCAGCGTTAAAAAAATGCACTGTATATGTTGGTATTGATAGAGATGAGTTTGGTATTTTTTAAATCTAGTTACTAGCGCAGTCGTGTGAAAGTTTTCGAAATATTTAGGCGTGGTTGCATACCTTTATGATCGTCTTATCAAAAATTAAGAAAATTTTGCACTTATATATTTATGAAGTTACATATAAGAAAATATGTTAAAATCAAAATTGCAAACTTTTATTTATAAAGTTTAAACAATACGCAGCTAAATAAAATACCTAGGAGGAACATATCGTTTTTGTCAATTTAAAAAACTACCACGTGTTGATTACAGTTGTTAACACAAAAACCGTAAGTGATGATTTTCATATTCTTCGGACGGCATTATGTGTTATACTTAGATCATATAATAAATAGATACCACCATGCCGTGTTCTTTCCCTAGGACAGCCTGTGACGACATCCTCCTGTCACACATCTCTCTCGTGCATGGAGGGATTACAATGAAGCTATCCTTGCCTGATCACTATTTGAATTTTGCGCGCCTAAATTTTAGGAAGTATGTCTGAATAACTTCGGAAGAAAGATGTTGACAGCTTGATTTTATAAATAATTCACAGTAGATAACGAAAGGAATAGTAAATTATTAGGCAGCAATTGTGATCCTTTATAACTACATCACTTAAAATAGGATCTTTGTTCTAAATTCCAAATTTGTTTTTTGTACAACAACTCGAAAGAGAGGTTAGAAGAACACGTGTCAAAAGCGATTTGTTGCGCTGGTGCGGTACAAGGATGGAAGTGAAATAGACATATATAGATGAAATGCATCTAACAAAGATGAAGATGTGGTGATCACACAAGGATAGCATTATACTACTCCCCTTGACGTAGAAAACGACAACAGATAACTTCATGTCTTGTCACAACTTTCAGTTTGAGTATTGGTATCTATTTATTATATGATCTAAGGTGTTATACCATTGAAACTTCAACGAACGCCAAAGTTGTTATCACAAAACATGCAAGTATAAATAAATTATAATTCAATTATTTTAACGTTACTTGAATTTGAGTTTATTCTCTTTAAAACGTTTTGAAACGTCAACACTTCCAAAATCTGCTATTAAGTCTGCCATCGGTATAAGTTAGTTGCAGTTTCCCCAGTCCTAATTCGGTTTTATGATAGTACCCTATTGTGTAAAAGTTAAATTCCTTAACAATAGATTGCTACTGCCAGTGATGGGACAGTCATAAATAAGGAGTTAACCATTATACAGTATACGGTTAAATCCTTATTTATGACTGACAGTAGTAATCTATTGTTAATGAAGATATCTTTTACATATCATAAACTTTTATGATGTGTAAAAGATTATGATGTGTAATATGATAGATTCTCCAGTTCTAATTCACTTGAATTAGAACTGGAGAATCTTTACCACCTATCTTGTTTGTTCCCCATATCAAACTTCAAATCTAATAATGTCGGTAATATTTTCAAGGTAGAATGCAGTGTTGGTTGCGTTTTAATTTTGGCAAATACATATTTACTATATTTGAGTGTACAACCATGTGTGAAAATTAGATTTCATTTATTTTACACACGGTAGATTATTAACCATAATAGAAAGCGGAGTTAGGTGGTATCGTTTCTGATTCACTTTTTTTTTAATATGATGTCACTGGGAGAACAGCTTGCAACCACTAAACAAATCCAAGTCAAAGAATTATTATCGCCGAAAAGGTGACGTGGTAATGAATCAGTTTCCAATGAAAAAGCGAACGCAATGTGCAACGGTAATTAATAAAAACTTTCTAAAAATACAATGTACTCGTATAAAATTAAAATGGAAGACAGTGTCTGTATTAATTTTTGTAGGACATCGAGAGAGCCCTCAAACATGGTTATCCTGACAGACTGAGTTCCAAACTCATCAAGAGAAAGGAGGATGCGACCAAAGCATACAGCGGTCCGAAAGAAGTCGTTAAAACATATGACATTCAAGAATCGGAAATGAATCCCTTAATTCAGTCAGGAAGAAACTGCATCGAAATACAAACGAACGAAAAATACGGCCGTCACATAGTAGCCTCCAGAGATATTGCAATTGGCGAAGTCCTAGCCGTTGATAAACCATATGCAATTGAACTACAAGCTATTCGCTCAAAGAACCCATTCTTCTTTTGCTACGAGTGCCTTAAGCATTGTTACAATGTAATTCCTTGCCTCACCTGCAACGAAGCATATTATTGTACTGAAATATGCAGAGCAAAAGCTTTCCAAAATTATCATAAGTACGAATGTTTAATTTTGCCTTACGTAGAACAATTGTTAGGAGTTATTTATCATTTGTGGTTGTTTTCTTTACGAATCACACTTTCGGCAATGACCGAAGCGAAAAACGACGAACCGATGTATCGTTCTGACAGGTACAAAGAGATTTCAGAATTAGAAGGTCACAGCAATGCAGATCCACCAGAAAAAACGTATGTTTTGGCTTTATTCAGTGCTAACGCTTTTACATTGATTAAGGAAAAGACTAAAATATTTAAAGATTTTGAAGTATTTGAAGAAAAGTTTAAAGATCTATTTTTTTGGCATCTACAAATGCTTAAAGTAAATGCTGTAGCAATCACCAGTTGGCATGCAGATGATAAGTTTTATAGTTCCATACATGGGTCAGCGTTATATTCGTTATACAGTTTATTTAACCATTCATGTTATCCCAACGCCTTTTGGAATAATAGTGGATCCACGTTGGTAGCTCGAGCCCTTTTACCTATTAAAAAAGGAGAACAGTGCTTCATCTCATATGGGTAAGTACTTTGAAACATGGTAATTTAGATAATTTTCTATAGTAAAATGTACTCATAAGTTGTGAGAATCCCAAGAAAGTATAATCAGAAATACTACCTGTGGAATAATTTCTTTGTGCCAAATTTTCATAACTTTGTGAAAACATTTCTATTGTTAACTGCAGCTAAAATTTGATACTTCTGCACCCTACAAATTTGCCACTATGTACTTATTACAGCGTCTTAAAGTTGTTACAATATAATTGTGTCTGTTTTACGCAATAACTTCCATGGCCTATCATTTAACGAATATTTGTTTTGTGTTCTAGCCCTTACTTCGCGGATGATGACAAAAGTGAACGACAGGAAATACTTCAAAGGCAGTACAGGTTTACTTGTGAATGTAGAGCATGCCAGGAAAATTGGTCAAAAGTAACGTTTTCTGCAGCCATTGTCGAGCAAGAAGTCATCAAACAAGTAATTGAGACACTTACCAAAAGTGAAGCAATCCCCCCTCCAGTAAATATATTGAGTCTTCGTGAGGGGCTCAAAAGAGCTTACGAAATTTTGGATGGCACCTCAGCTTTCTTTTAGCGGGTACAGGTATATAAATTTTTTGTAAAAAATCTGATTATCTCAAAACATTTTACATGGAAAGTTAGATAAACTGTCAAGTGTTTCCGTAAAGGGAGAAAAGTCTGTATGATCTCCGTATTCACAATGTTAGAGACATTACTTTTTTTAGGATCGTATTTAATTTACATATTACTTAATACTATAAACAGGTTATAATAGGCTTTGTTCTAAAAGAAAAAATGGTTCTGTTGTAAGGAAAAGGAAATTATAGTTGTTGTCAGACAAAGTAGGAATAAAAATATGAGCAATAATTTTTAGATTCCTAGTGTGGTATTCATGGTGGCATCATATCGGCATGTATCATTTCAAGCCAAGTTACCAAAGATATTAAAAGAAAAGAAGATGGAAATTACGGTCCGTCCCAACCGGTCCCCTATTATATTAAAAACAAGTAGAAATAAACTGTGAATGCATACACTACAAATTTTTTAATAATTATTTAAGAATACTTCAAGTGCCAAAAATGCTTAAGTGCAGAAAGAGTGTAGTTAAAAATTTACAAGTAATCTCTACAGATTGACGCTTCAGTGGACTGCATAATTCTAAACCATTACGTCCGAAGGCACTTATTGTAGTGTAAATACAAGTGGAGTAAAATCTATACGGTCGGCTCAAGCATGTGCATTAAATAAAGAAATTATTTTATGTAAATATTAGCAGGTTTTTATATTAAAGTTTAGCTTCGAATCATAGAAATAGGATTTCGTAACAATTACCATTGTTACATACAAGTTTCCCGCACAACTGTTTCTTGTTCTTGCCTTTTTTAATTAAGGGATTTATTTATAACTTAAATGTTATCAATTAATTGCTGATAAATGATTGTAAAATATGTAGGTGAACTCTGCACAAAACTTATAAAATTTTGTTTCATAAAAGTTGTTAAATTTTTAGAGTTACAGATTTATCTGTTAAATATTACTACTGTTTTGACAAATGTTACCAGTGATAAAATTTCACGTTTATGTTAAGAAGGTTTTTCTAATTTTAAATAAAAGCAACGGTTAAGTTCAAGTTGTTTTCCTGAAGTCGACATTAACATTGCACTTTAGTGTACGATTTTCTTGCTATGGAACCTCCACGCACACATAATTTAATGTAGGGGGTCGTCATTAAAGTACAACTGTCACGTGATCTGTCATTTTACATTAATATATAATATAATACATAATTTTACATACAATGAAACTTTTTTATGTTCATAATAATTGTTTTGTCCCAGTAAGTAATAAAAATCAACTTTTTGATAAACTAAACAGTGAATAATCATAAAAAATTTAGATCTTAATTTAAAGATTTTTTTACTCTGCAAACACGGTGGCTTTAGAAACTTCAAAATATAAAATTTAATCCACTTTTCTCGCGGGAGTAAACTTGCCAAAATTTATAAAATCACTTGCCTAAACTTCCTTCACCTCTGAAGGAAAACAGCGGTACGTGCTTGAATTAATTTTTTGGACATCAAGTGAGTGATAAATACAGGGTGTTACTGAAAGGTACGTACAACAAAATTGACAGTCATTCGCAAAGTCTAAGAAGTCTGAAAAACTTATTTTGTGTTATCAAAATTATAAGGGGAAAATTAACCCTTATCTGACCTTTTTAGGCTCTACTGAAGGATAAATAGGTAAAATTAATTTATTTTAGTAAATCATAGCAACTGTAGCTATAAAACTTTTGTCAAGACTAAATGTTGCTATAGAAACGAAAGATGATCTTTTTATCAGAGACGTACAACGAATTTGGACATAAATTTTAATAATTTTTATCTCTAAAAGGAGAACACTTTTTACGTGTACTTTTTTTACTTTTAGCACCCATACTTCGAGACCAATTGCCGATTTTATTTTGTACGTACCTTTCAATAACACGCTTTTATTTTTTATTTATCAATTCAAAGTTTGCGTAGTAGCACGAGGGAATTTTTGATACAAAGTACACTTAATTGACAAAATATCGTCAACGACTTTGGAAGTTCCCTTCCACTTATTTGCTTTTCTTGTTGTCAGGAGAAAAATCAGCGGTTTTACGTATGTTTTTAGACGTCTCATCCGAATATGTCAAAATTATTATGTGAAAAGGCTTATAAAGTTTTTCCTGATTGGTGTAAAGAAAAATGTTAAGAAAACGACAAAATATGTACTTATTCTGATCTGTTGTGGAGAAAAAGCTAAAATTTACAAAGCCTTTAGTCTTTGGAGTGCCTTTTCAATGGTAAAATTAACTTTAATGTTGAATGGTCTCGATATTAAGAAATTCTCCAAGTAAGTTGCCGTTTTTAAAGCAAACAAATGTAGGTTTTCAACGTAAACAATTGAAACTTTTTTCTAGAAGTGGAAAAATCTTCAGACAATTTCTTCTGATGAAGGTCTATACAATAAATTCGATTTTTATTCATTTTTGACAATATGTACGTATCAGTTTCTAAATAAAATTCTGTTGTTGCCATGTATATTTTGATTATTTTGTGAGATTTCAAAAAATTAGCTTATTTTCGATTGCATATACTACTGTAACTGGAACGAGTGCGGTAAAATCTTTGTAGTGCTAGAATATTACGGCAATGGTCAACTTTCTTGAGACTTTCGTGACGGTTTCAGGAAAACTGTTTTATCGTTAAATCTAGTAATTCGGTCCTCTTGTAAACGATGTTTCGATAGGGTCGGAGGTGGCCTGTGGAAGACTTAGACGAAACTAGTAGTGGTATAATAATAAACTTTATTAATTTCCAGAAAACATATATACACATACAGGGTTAGTCAGGAGAGAATTACTTCTGAAAATTATTTTTACGCAACCCAAAATACTAATACCCTGTACCACTTGATATTATCTAAATTTAAAATGAAATGCCTAATCCATGATTGCTTTGACTTTGGCAGTGTCACTTTGACGTTAATTAATTTTTAACGTTTTTTTTTTCATCGTTGACTCGCCTCTAGAGCCCCATTGGATCAACGACATACAGTCAGATCAATCTGGGCCATACTGAAGCCGTAAGTGCTCTACCAATGTTGTTCGCCGCTAATGTGCATGTGTTAATTCGCCATCTCTGCGTCACCTAGAGCCTCTTTGAAGTGCAAATCTGTAACCTCTGGACTTCTTCGGCCATCCATTTACAAAAAAGCCGTAGCATCCCCCCAAAATGCCCAACATTTTCAACAGATTAGTAGTTAAATTATTTACTTACTTGTTTGAGTTTGTGTTGTAACCTTTGAATAAAATGCTGTAAAAGGAATTTTTAGAAATAATTTTCTCGTGATTAATCGGTTGCAAAAGATCAAGAGGCACACTGACAAATTTATTAGCGGCGCCGGAGGAGATTTCCGACTGGCTCCGGTACCACCATGGACACTCGCGTAACCTTCTTTTCCACAATTGTCAAAATCAGATTGCCAAACTCAAAGCAATCATGGATTAAGCATTTCATTTTAAATTCAGTTAGTATCAAATGGTACATGGTATTCGTATTTTGGGTTGCGTAAAAATAATTTTCAGAAGTAATTCTCTCGTGACTAACCCTGTATATATGGAAAAATTTTCAACATTACAAAGAATGAATAAATAAATGCACAGCATGGATGTTTGTGAGTCAAACATCACAAAAGAACTCATTTAATGTACAATAACTTTTTTGGCAGCGCATTAAAGAACTTATCTCCGTTATAGAAGCCAGCTTTCTCATACATTGATGTTGAGTGTTTGTATGGTAACAAAGTCACATTCTTATGTCTAATTCGATATTGATACTTAGCTCTATTGATGGTAAAGTTTGAAAGATTTCTATGTACCATACAAACAAGTTCGTAAATGTTATCCGTGATGGATGCTAAGAACTCATTTAATTTTTCAGAAGCCTCTTGATCATTTACGAGTTTTATTGTTGTCGGTCAGTTTTATTATCGTAGTCTCCTTTTTGTTTGGTAGATTAACCGTTTTATTAACCATTTTCCCAATTGCTTTATTTTTATTAATATGTTTGAGTACAATATTGTTGAAACTGCGTTTTAGCTTCCGTGTATTTAGTTTTAAATTCCGCATGAAGTTGCACTTGTTCTTTAACCTGTAGCAAGTAAGGAAATCTTACATTAAAATATAAGAAAGCTTTATTGATTACACAGCCCATGCAACAAGAATTATCACACACACACACACACAATCTATATCTAAGGGCGGATGCTGAGCGGAACACCCGTGGATGATGTCTAACGGCGGAAGGGAACGATGAGGTTGGTGCAGTTCCTACACTACATCAGTGCCTAGTAAACTTTTACAACGGCTACTTTGAGGGGTTGTCGGACAATGCAGGGGGATAATGACGCCAACAAAAGGAGCGTGCCACCAGTGTATAGTGGGCTAGAAACACCCAGGGTTGCATTGAATTTGTAATTTATGGTTTTGGGAATCCAACCTTCATGGTTAACTTTGAAATACCAATAAAATTTTATTAGGTACTGATGTGGTGTAGACCTCACCAAAATTTCAAAGTATCTAGAAATGAAGCCTCGTCGGTTACCTGTTTCCTAAAAATTAAGTGCTTATGGCCTATACTATAGAGTAATGGATACGAATTAGACGCATATTACAACATGATCGAGTGTCCTATTGGGGATAAATGCCTGAGCTGACAGAGTGAGGTAGGTAGAATGAGATATCTTAGCTTGTTTGGAATTGTTATATCATTCATAATACAGATAGTGTAAAGTAGTAAAATAAGAAGTAGATAAAAAATAATTAAGAAAGTTGAGTTTAGGTAGAATTGCAGAAAAGTTGTAAAAGTGTCGATTAAGAAATTATTTGGATAAAACATTTTAGATTATTTGAAAATAAAAAGAAGAGCCTAATGGCTCCTTTATTATAATTATTACAACATAGCACGGCTCCTCCATCATATGTAGTTTATTAGCCCGGCTCCTCCACCATATGTAGTTTATTAGCCCGGCTCCTCCACCATTCGTATCTGTCAACCTGCATCTCCGCCATTTATGCCTGTTAGCTCGACACCATACATATCTGATGATTCCATCAGTTGTGAATTTTTAAAGAGATTATAATATGGTTGGAAAATGGAAGTGTCTTTAGGGATTCTAATAGAAGACATAGGAGAGAACGACGGTATCGCAACGACTGTGTTGAAGTAATACAGTTTTTTTTAACACGGTTGTTTAATATAGTAAATACAGATAAAAAAAGTCAAATTATTCAAAAAGAGAGGTAAAATGCTGATAGATTAAGGGTAAAGCAGGTCAACTAGTGCACCGGATCCGATTCTTTCGTTATTTATGTTGTAGGGTCTCTCCCTCTTCTTCTTTCAAAGGCTCCATTATAGAATGTACGAAATTGATTGTATAAATCCTCTTCCAAGAGGAATTGTTCTAGGGTGGTATTAAATAAGGGATCTCAGGATCTTTGGTCTTCTTACAACGGGAATTCTATGAGCACATAGTAATAAACGTCTTTATTTCAGTTATATGTACAGTACCTCTGCAAGGCGAAGTTTAGCTTACACATAACCTCTGACAAAAATAACCTGTAATTTAGACTACATAAATATACAAGAAATTATAAGAAATGAGATAATGTTTATAAGAGAAAGCAAAAGTTATGAGACAAAAAACAATTTTACATTTAAAGAAATTTACATAAAAAATAACCAAATGTTTCATAAGTATAAGATAATCCAAAACTTATGAAACCTATAAATATATACTGGGATGCAGGTTAAAGTTTAAATATAATAAGTAATCTAATAATTTAAGAATTCTGTTTTAATAAGTTAATTTGCCCGATTTAATAAATACTTATTTCTTAAATCGGGCAATGGGAGGATTCTTAATGTTATGGTCTAAGCATTGTATAACTTAATAATTGGATTGTAACCAAAAGCTGGTGTATGTTTGTGGTTTAGGTATAAGATGTATGTTTTATGATCATGACGAATCGGTAATGGTTTGAATTTCTCAATCAAGTAATCCGGCTTCCGAGACTCAAGGATATGATGCATAGAAGTTAAAACCCGATAGTAGTAGGTGTTCTGGACGTTTAACCAACATATTCTTTTAAATTTTTCTCCCAAATAGTCATATTTTCTAATATTAAACACATGGTTATATTACGACCTGAAATATATTTGTTGAAGGATCTATGACCAGTAATAACAAATGACTGCTCCAGCGTTGGTTGGAACCAAGGAATCACTTTACTAGCACTCACAGCTGGCAAGAACTTATACGTGACCCTACCCTTGTTGACCTCGTCCCAGTTGGTTTGCCATTCTTCTAGACATCTCCTTCTAATGTATGTTTTTGCCTCGGATTTATTCAGACCTTGTACCTGTACGTTGTCGATCGGGAGATTCTCTGGAATACTAATTCGTCTCCCGACGTTGTATCTGGTACCCAACTCTATGGCTTCATGTCTCCAGGGGATCTCGCCCAGGATCACCTACATTGCGACTGTCTAGAAGCTATCAATCATATTTGTGTCTTATGCAATTATCCCATCCAAACAGCCGCGCCATATATTGCAATAGCAGAAAAGAGACCAGTCCACCATGTCCTTATTAAAGAAAGGCAGAGGCCCCATCTTTTTCTAAGAACGCTTTCGGACGGAGCAGTTGTTTTCACTTGTCGTTCTTTGATGTCCTTAAAGTGTAAAATAAAACTTAATCTTTCGGACACGGCGATTCCTAGGTACATGATATTCTTCACATACGGTAACGCTCCATTTCTTATCTTTATCCAAGGAGGACGGGTCGTCGACAGGATACCCTTGAGGAGCATACAACCACTCTTGGATTTGGAGACTTCCAAACCTACACTCACGGTCCGCCTCAATTAATATTAGCAAATCGTCTGCGCAGGCTATGCAAATGCCCCCCTGGTCGCAGAAATTTTTCAGAAGAATGCTCATGAGGAAATTCCAGATAATGGGTCCACAAATCGAGCCTTGCGGGCACCCTTGACTCACACCTCTTGTTACCGACTGTGTGTGTCCAAATAAGGTAACTTCTCTCTCTAAAGTATGAACTCCAGAGCCCTATGTATCTTATACCTAATTCGACCAGTCGTCTTAAAATTATTGTCCAAGAAGTGTTATCAAATTCACCGGTGAAGTCTATGAAGAGGCCGAGAACATACTTTTTGGAGGATCTTTTAGTTTCAACCATCCAAGACGAACAGATCACAGGATCTAGATATATTTTGGTTACAGTCATCTTTCAGGCGAGCGACCTAACACCTTGCTCCACGCCGGGAGTGGGCATATAGGTCTGTATGATTTGACGAAATCACTTGGTTTATCGGGACTTTTGAGCAATGTACTTGCTTTGGCCGTTTTCCACTTCATCGAATTCGGGAGCTGCTCTGAAAAATTCTATTATCATACTACCGGTGGAGCCGTCTAATCCAGGGGCCTTCCGACCCTTCAATCCACTAATAATACCTGAGACTTGATCTAATGTGAGTTCTGATTCGTCATGGTGTATGGGTTGAATTTCGGGGTATATGATCCTCTCCTCCTGATATTCCCCAAAGAATGTGTTAAGGAGTGCCACTGCAGATGCACTCCACATGGTATAGTCTCTCCTATTTTGATTGCAGCAACATTCGTGTTACTCTTTTGCCAGTTGCATATTTTGTAAACACCACCCCATAGATCTCTGTTGTCCCTGGTTGTGTTTTGAACATAGGTGTGTCAGTGCTCGAATTTAGTAGATTGAAGTTCTTTTTTGTAAGTAATCAACCCTGCACCTTCTTCTTGATTCGTTTACTTCACCTTCAACACCACCCAATCTTAGTTTCCATTAATAAATACGTCTTAGTCTCCGTGCTTATTGTCTGCTGTTGCAGGTTTCGCGTCCACCATCGTGGTTTACGCTTTGGCGTATAATTAGGAGAGATTTAATAAGCTGCTTTTGTCCATTGCTTTACGTTGTCCACCATCTGCTCTAGGGACAGTTCGCGAAATGACTCTATTCCGCAATCTTCTACACTTCTCATAACGGTAGCGCACGTCTACGTCTCTATTTTTAGAAGGTCCCGCAAAAGCAAAAAATATACTGGATTCATTGAGCACAGCCAGGCCCTTTCTAACGACGTATTCCACTAGGTTATCACCTCTAGTATCCCTTTCTCTAGAGGCCGACAGCTTTTTACTATGCCACAAAGCAGAAGAAGCATTAGTTAGCATCCATCCCTGTTAAAAATGGCATTCTTGCAGCTCCCTCAACCACCCTATTAAGAGAATCTAGATCTTGTTTTATGTCGCCAGCGCATTGAATATAAAGGCTTACAACGTATAACGATGTATTATTTCCGGAAATATGTATTACACACATAGATTCATGAAACCATTCATACCTAAGAATAAAAGCTTTTGGAAAAGCACCTACCCGGTACGTGTCTAAGGTATTACCCAGATCGCAAATGTGTCCAAATGTGTGTGGCTCCTGGAGCAGATACACATTACCCCACTCTAGATGTCAGCCATAAGATTTTGCGACCTTTGACAATTTATCTGCATCATTCTTACCATCACATCCCCTTCTGAATATCTAACCTTTTTCTTTTCGATTTGTAGTTTTCTTTGGTAAAGAGGGCATTCCGATCGTTAGCACCATGTCTTCTATTTCCAAATTTAGGTACCGCCTGCAATTAGTTAAACAATTACGTGCATGAACGTGGCCTTTCCAACAGGATTCGGTTTTGGTCTGGGACGTGTTTTATTTACCCTATACATATCTGACGTAAGTTACTCATTAAAATCCAATTACTGTTTCTTTGTGGACGACCTTGAAGTGCCTAATAAACCTAATAAGCATTATAACATCCTGACCAACGATATAAATACGTAATTAAACTGGTGCCAAATTTGGTTGGTTTCAGTTAACAGAAAAAAGTGTGGAGTTCTACATTTGGGCTCCAATAAACCGTATTGAACTTATCAGATAGATCGTGACCTCATCGACCCCGGAATCTTTGCACACAGTAACTTCAAGTTTCCTGAGCAGATTAAAAAGGCTAATGTTAATACCATAATATGTCTACGATCAACAAAATTGTTAAAAGTACAGAGAGATCGAAAAAGAAATTAGTTAAAGTTGGTCATGCCCGCAAAGCCGTTTGTCTTAGTTCAAAATATTTTTTTATTAAACGTCACCTTGACAAAAGGTTGACAGAAGTAATTTGCATTTTAAACTGTCAATTTGACATTTAATAAAAAAAAAATAATTACGACAAACAGCTTGTCGTGCATGCCACCTTTGACTAATTTCTTTTTTGCACTCATGACCTTTTTTGATGGCTTTCGCGCATTCACCAGGGTGCGGGAGTTCGAACTTCCCGCACACGTGCATTTTGACTTTCCGTTGCCATGGTAACCTTAAAATACTCGGGTAGTGTCAACATTGTGACGTGTGACGGCGCTGTCAATGCCGTTGTTTATAAATAACTCACAGTTAATCTCTTCAGTTTAAAGGTTTACGAGCCCTAACAACTAAATGTTCGGACACGTATTCTTTTATACAAAAAAATGTAATTTAATGAAAAAAAATGTATTTTACAAAAACAAAACTAGAGTAATATATAAGTACGTATCTTTAATGCAATATTCTCAACAAAAATTGTAATATTATTAACTTAACAAGATTATAACACAACGAGAAGCTGATGTGAACGAATAAACTTGGCAACTAAATATTCGGACATGAGTATTTTTTTTTACTTAGTATGGTGTAACATCTCCTTTTGCTTTGATTACTGCGCGTATCCTTGCAGGCATAGTACTTACAAGACTTCGCAGTATTCAGGAGTAAAACTTGCCCAAACTTCGTCGATTTTTGCTTTTAAACCTAAGAGTGTTCGTTGGGGGTTGTTGCGCAAAACGGATTTTATGTCGTGCCAAAGTGTCTCAATGACATTTAAGTCAGGGCTGTTCGCAGGCCATGAAAGGACTCTTATATCATGATCCCCAAACCATTTCTTAGTACTTTTTGCGGTATGACATGATGCACCGTCCTGTTGAAAAATATAATCGTTGTCCGGATACAGTTTTTCAACAGAGGGCAACAAACTGTTTTCTAAAATTTGTTGGTATTTCATGGCGTTAATAGTCGTTTCCAGCAATTCATAATTCCCCAACCCTTTAGCTGACATGCATCCCCACACCATTATTCCTTTAGGAAACATTACAGTTCGTTTTAAACAGTCTTTATTGAACGCTTCACTTTTTGATCTTATCACTCTTCTCCGCAAATCTCCCACGCACACATCAAATTTTGACTCGTCACTAAAAATGACCTTTGATCAATCTTCCATGGTCCATGCCAGCTTAGACTTTGCCCAGTTGTACCTATTTTTCTTTTGATTTGCCGTTATTAAAGGTTTTTCTTTGGCCTGTAACGGCACGGTGGAACAAATGTAAACCAAAAACTTAAAAATTACCTTATAAAAACTTAATCCTGACTTGTGAATCCATTTCCTACAACATTCTCGTGACAGCTTATGCCCCATTTCATCCGTCCATTGTGCTGTTATGTCCCGCAATGTGTTTCTTCGATTTTTTTTACAAAGTTTTACAAGGAGCCTTTGACTTCTTTCTGAAACTAATTTCGGTCTTCCCGAACTTTTTCCTTTAACGTCTAGTCCACCAGTTTCGCGATAATGTGAGATTATATCCGCTACAGTGAACTTTGCTAAATTCAGTTCTTCACTAATTTCCCGAATTTTTTTACCTTGGCAATACTTCTTTACAATAAGTGCACGTAATGATTTTTCAAGTGGACGTCCACGAACCATTTTGTTAAAGAATATATATATTTTTCTACGGATCTTACAACACAGTTAGGTAAAGCAGGAAGAGGAGAATGATATTTATTAACAATCAAACAATTCACACCGCCTACTTAGTGAAAATTAATTTTTTTATTTATTTGTCCGAATAATTAGTTGCCAAAGTGTATTCACTTTTTCTGAAAAATCCACAGTCATATTTGAAAATTCTATGTAAAGTAAAACATTCAAGTTTTTTATTAAAAACTATTCTTTGAAATCTTAGCTTCCTATTTTTATGTGATTTGATAATAAAAATTAGAAATTAATTCATAAAGAGTGGTTTTTGAACGCTCCGGTTAGTTTGTCCGAACATTTAGTTGTTAGGGCTCGTATTCGTTGCAAAAAATATTGTACACAACACGTTCGTGAGTCTTCTTCCCGCATTCACGCAAATGCGTCACTCCCTTCGGTCGTGCCGCAAACAAGCGTTCATGCGGGAAGCAGGCTATCCCGAACTAATTGTGTAAATTACTAATTTCGATTTCGCGGTATAACTCATTTGTCCTATTCCCATAGAGTGTCGGAATTAAAGATTTGTCCTCTTTCGGAAAGACACGTGACAAACGATTTTATATGTGTTCCGGCTCGATATGGACCAATGTTCCGGCTTGAAGTGCCAATGTTTCGTACAATCCGAATCGTAGTACCAACGTTTTTTGTAATCCGGTTGATACGACCATGTATGGTCTTCCGAATTGTACCTTGATATTGTTCCAAGGACCTTTGTTTGTTATAATTGAAATAATGGACAGCGTTCGGTTTTGATGTTTAATGTAGGACGGTTACAGAAGTACTAAAATTACAGTGATATTTACAAAAGCAGGTAAAGATACCCAAAAGAGTCAGTGGCCGCTTCCGGAAATGCAACAATATGGATTTTCAAAATTTTAAAAAAGCACTTAGGAATTGATTTAACTAATTTATTTGACACATCACGAATAATATAAAACTAGAATATGTGAAAACTGTGGTTGTAAAACCTAAGAACAGATCAATCAGAGTACGTAAAAACAGATAAGGTATTTCATTTATGTGTGTTGTGTGCTACGCCTTAAAAACAGAACACTCGTATACACTAAAAAATATGTAACCATACATAAATGTAATAATTACCCATAAGGTGAAATTTTATGTTACCTTAAAATTAAGGTAAAATCACATGTTTAATATCGGTAATTAAATTAGTAATTACGTATTATATTTACATACGGTAATAGTTAGTTACGAGGTAAGCCCGTTATGTAAAACTTTACGTGGGTTTGTCATCTGTGCGAACACGTCAAGTTCGATAACGGGCGAGCTTTGTATAATGTTTTATAGTATACTAAATTGCATAAAAATTCTTACATTTTTTGGATCAATGCGGAGTAATTTGTTCAATCAAAGTAGCAGTTGAAAACGTCTGACGAATGTTAGCTTGACAATGAAACTTGTAAAAACAAAACAATGTTTTGGTGTTGTTGGTTGTGTTTATGGTTGTGTTTTTGTTCGAATTATCGAAAAATGGATCTTCCCGATGAAATAAAGCAAGCAGCAGAAGAAGCGAAGGGTCATGTAGGTTTTAAACACATACCTATTACGATGTTATTAATGATTATTGTTAAATCGTTAAAAAAAGTGATAGCCTGGTAATTTTTTTATCGTTCACTTAATAGGCATGTTGGCGATGGCCGATTAGATTGAGCAACTAGTTCAAGGTGTTTTTTTTTGATGCTGCACCTTTTCGTAAAATCCACATCATCATACAGCTCAAATGGATTCTTACGAATCAAAATTCGCCTTGGACGGCGCATTCTTACTGCTTGCAATCTCCTTTCTTCATCACTGTTTTCACTTAGCGAAGATGAACTAAATAGTGATATCTTCTAAAATTTGCATGAGCAATTATAATAAATACAACCATTACTACCCAATTACGTTTCCGTTATTTCAAAAACCTAAGAAATCTTGTCCCTAAAGCTTTATACAAACACGAAGTCGGAACTTAATTGATGGCGGATGACTGATTAGCTGACAGAAAGTTAACTAAGGTTTGACATGATGTTAACATTGACGATAGCTTTATACAATCCAAATCTAGAGTTAACACAAGTTTGACATATTGTTAGTTAACACGTTGTTAATCGATTGTCAACTGATTTATACAACACTTGACATTAGCAAACGAATTTAACATTGATTTGACAAAAGCTTTATACAACCGGGCCCTAATGTTGTATAAAACAGTTGACAATCGGTTACCAGCGTATTAACTAACAATATGTCAAACCTATGTTAACCCAGGATTTCGGTTGTACAAAATTATCGTTCGACTTAACATCATGTCAAACCTTAGTTAACTTTCTATCAGCTAATGAGTCATCCATCATAAAACGCTAACCAAAATTTGTCTGATCATCCCCACCACTAATGCTATGACGTCACTTCAAAATTGTACATAATAAATGGGTTTTAAATTGTATAAAATAACATAGTCCCACACATGTAGTTTATGATTCCGAATTGAATTTTTACCCGAAACGTCCAGATTTTTGAAAAAAAATCAAAATCGTGAAACAACATTTTGCAATTTAATTTTGAATCTGCAAAATCCAATGCAGTTATAATAAACATGATAACTTTTTGTTCAAAATATATTTACTTATCCCCTCAAAAAATTGATGAGTTTGTACTTGAAATTTATTATTCCATTCATTTTTTTTTAATTTGCAGAAAGAGGGTGACTCAAAAAAAATAATGAATGCGTGAATTTATTTTATTGATTTAATCAGGAACTACAAAACCGAATGCTTTGAAATCTTGGAGACATTTTAAAATTATCATAGGCATGGTAAATTTTTAGTCAAAATGTATTTGCTCCTCCCCCCTTAAAAAATTGATGACGTCACCTCAAAATTTTGATGAATAAATCCTATCTTAAATGTGTAAAATATGTTGAGTCTATAGTTGTGATTTATCATTCCATTAATATTTTTTGGATTTGCATATATAGGGTGACTCAAAAAAATTAATGAATGCGTGAATTTATTTTACTGATTTAACAGGAACTACAAAACCGAACGCTTTGAAACCTTGGAGATATTTTAAATTTATAAGCATTGTAAAATTTTGATCAAAATGTATCTGCTCATCCCCCCTAAAAATTTGATGACGCCGCCGCAAAATTTTGTTGAAAAAATGCTATCTTAAATGTGTCTAAAGAATGATGAGTCTATGCTTGATTTATCACTGTGTTAATATTTTTTAGATTTGCTTATACGGGGTGTCTGAGAAAAATTAATGACTGAGTCAATTAATTTTATTGATTAAATCAAGAATTGCAAATCTGAATACTTTGAAATCTTCCAAACGTATTTGCCTTAAATTACAAGTACTATACAGGGTGTTCCTTTTATCTGTTCATGCCTGACAATTTTTGCATAGGCAACATATTATAGACCCCAAAGACGACTTCGTCCAATTTTATTTTTTTTAATAAGGAATCATAACAAACGCAAAAAAATGACAAAGATGTCGATGCCAAATAAAGACAAAATTGAAGAAATTAATACTCAAATGTGAAATAAGTCACAGCATTAATAAAAACATTTCCGCACAGAAGAAACTATTTCAGCATTTGTAAAAATGAAAGGGCAATAAATAATGCAATTTAGAATTATTTAATTATCTAGTGACTTTAGGGAAACCTACAAGTGAGAATATTCGATGGCCAAGAGCCAAACGAAAACGTGCTTGATTCCGCTAGTGCGCAGGTGCACTGAAGTGATTGGTAGTCTTCGTAGGTTTCGTTTGTGTTGTGTTGTGTTCCACAGACCACACACTTTAGACAAGAAAGTCTTATGGAGAGAGCGCAAACAAAATTTCAGTGGTTTGCGTCTCTACTAAATGTTACTCTGGCGTCCGATATGGGGCGCTGTTGCTAATTAAAATTGCACAGTGAGCAATACGCATGTCGATTTTGGTTGATGAATCATTTTAAACAAGCCAATTTGGAGAAAGTTCTACTGAACGGTATTTTGTCTTTTCGTCTTGTGATTTCGTTTTGTGATTTCCCAAAGAGGAACAGCTCCTGAAAAAATGGATTGAAAATGTCAACGCGTCTCTTTTTAGTTCCATGGAATCAAGCGAAATCTATAAAAAATATGTGTGTGATAGACATTTTTCTACCGATTTCAATGTTCCTGGAACAAGACGGGGACTTCGTAGAGATGCTTTTCCGAATATTTGTTTATCAGCAGGTATGTACAAACAATTACAATTGTATTACAAAGTGTCATCAGTAATAAGTAATGAGCGATAAAAAATATACACTGCCGAGCATAAAATTCGGGTCACCCGTAATTTTTTTCCGATATAACATACTCTACGAACTGATTGCTTTAAAAAAATGTTGTTGTTTCGATAAGCGTTTGACAAAAAAGGAGTCCTCCAGCCAAATTCTTAAAAACCATTATCAGCATTGTTTTTTTTGGTGTTATCTGTCAATTGCAAATTCATCTGCAAAAAGTGAAAAATGTAAACATAAGCGAGTGGACAGTTCAGATTTAAATCCCATTCAACATGTTTGTGATGAGATAGGGAAACGTTTACGCAGACATGTGCCGGCCCCCAGAAATTCTAGAGAGCTTCGCAACATAGTGGTGCAGAAATGGAACAATCTTCCGCTGAATATAATCCAAAATCTTATCCAAAGCATGCCTCGTCGTTTGCAATTTCTTTTGTTTCATCGAAAAGCATATCAGCGTAAAATTGTTCACTTTCATTACTTTGCATATCAAAGTAAATTTGTTCATTCCCATTACTTTCAATAGACTTTGAACAACAACTTTTTGTATTGCAGTTGTCCTACAAGGGAAAGAGAAAGATGACGTCCATTTGACGTCAATGGTTGAAGAAGCAGCCTCAGTAACTAGTGATTTTATTCAATCACCAGTAATCCCAAGTGAGTAACCATGAATTACAATTTTATTGAATCTAGAAATACCTACTCATTATCTCATTATTTATAACATCATTTCATTGTTACAGATGTAGAAGATGAAACTTGTTTCATTCAGCAACAGCTAAGAAACCAGAAACTTAAACCCAAAAGTCGCAGATTTACGTTAAAAGAGAAATTATTGTCTCTAACACTTTTTAAGGCCAGTGCGAAAGCATACCGCTTATTATCCAAGATTTTTTGTTTGCCGTCACCTGGGACATTAATTAATTTATTAAATAAAATTCCACTCCGCCCTGGCTTGAATAAACGTCTAATGGACAGTTTCAAGCAGTCAGTGGCAAAATTAAAAGAAAACGATGAACAAGATGAAGGTGTCATTGATGGCGCAAGTGTTTAGTTTTAAAGTGGGATCCTTGATGAAACGCATTTCACAATGGGGTAAGTAATATTGTATTTACCAGAAAATCTTAATACTAATAATTTTTCTTTTCTTTTTTTTTTTTCTAGGTCTTCAGTATGACAACAGCTTACCTGCTGAAGCAGTGCAAACTGCAGATTTCATCTTGTTTATGGATATGTTATTTGACAGCCTCAATGGTAATGCAAAACAAGCGCCAGTAAGTAAACCATTTAAAGGAGGGGTTTCGACTGATTCTGGACATAAAAAGTGGTGGGAAGAATCTGTGAAAGTAATTAAATCAATGCGTTTTTGGAATAGTAAAAAGGGCATATATGTAAAAGTCCCATCGACCAAAAATTTAGTTAAAACAATTGAAGGTTTCTTGTATTTACGAACAAGATTGTTGACGCGAGTAAAGTACTTTTTGCCACGTGCTTTGAATCAAGAACACAGATTTGTGATCTTGAAATGTTATATTATGTTGATATAGTTCAAAAGAAAAATATATTTGTAATCAAAGTATCGACGCGGCGGCACTGGATCGAGCGTCTGAAACATCATTCCGCCCGTTGATAATAAGACAAATTTGATATTATCGTTATCTCTTTTTTATTATCAACTTTTATACAATTTATTTCACAATAAATTAGACTGTATTGATTTAATATATAGTTCTGTTTTATACTGATTCTAGCCGTACAAACATCTCAGTTTGCTTTTCAGTTTCGGCTATATCAAATTTATTCAACAAAATTGCACATTTATATGATATTAATTTAGATTCTAGTTGTAGTATTTGTAATTGCATTGTAAATTTGGTTTAATGTTTAATTAGTTATAAATACTTTTGTTTTTTAAATATTTATACTTTTTAGTTGCTGTCATGAATCAGTTTAGTTAGTCTGATATTATTCCTGTAATTGGGTGTTACCTGTAGGAATAAATATTATTGTCTGTGTGATTTAATTAGATTAAGTTTTAATTAAATCGTTTCAATAAATATTATTTTTTTAACAGAAAAGTTTCATTTCAATCTTCAGTAAAAAATGTTCATTATGGTTCAAGCTATTGTCACCCTAACAATATTTCGGTGACAATAGCTTGAATCGTAATGAACATTTTCTACTTCACTTTCACATGCTTTTATTAATAGCGATTCCTTTAAAATTCGCGCAATTTTTGATTTAGTTGTCCCCACCTCCACTGGCGGCGCGCTATTTCTATTACCATTGGTAGTACAGTAGATTCCCATCTAAAGTGTGTGGTCTGTGTTGTGTTCTGTGGTTTGTGTGTTATAGGAGACGTAACAGAGTCGATCTAGTTCCCGGTTTCCATGTGACAACAAACTCGTTAAAAATATCCGAAATAAAAGTGTAATACGAATGGATGAATATGCTCCGGCAGGTCCAGGTTGGTGTGCTCCACGACTATTCAATAAAAATCAATCCGAATTAATACCGAACGTAACGTGGTGTGGTTGAAACGCACACATTCGGAAAACAAACAACAGCTGATCCGGTCGAATTTTGGATATAAGTGTAAGTTTTGTAGATTTTGCTATAATTTAATTTTGGTAATGAAAATAGCGGTTTGAGCATTTTTCGACAATTTAACAAAAGTGTCAAATCGTTTTTTAGCCTAAAAAAATGAAAAGTCGCCACACAATGTCAAAATATGCCTACCAATCCTACCATATCATCGGTAAAAACATTCATAAATTTTATAAGAGAAACAGATGAATTTGATAGATTCGGATGCTAATTACCGTAAAAATCGTTAAATAATTCCATCACGTACAATTAAAAAAAAAAACAAAAATTTCATCCACTCATTATTGTTATCGCCTTGCAAAAAATATGATAGCCTTCCATTGGTACATTTGAAGTGCGTTGCACCATTCAGATGTTTGAGCAAGTCAAAAATGAAAAAGTAGTGTCAAATTGAAGGCCGAATCATGAGCACCACAAAAAGTTCAGGAGAAAAAAATTAATGCTAACTTTTGAGGAGAAACGGCAACGATTTCATAAAGATTTTTATTAAGTGGATAAAAATATGTTTGTTAATTTATAAAAAAATACAGAATAAGTAGCATTTTTCTTTAACCCTTAATTACTCGCATGCGTGTATAAAATACACGCAGTTGACGTTTTTGTCGGCCATTTGCTAAAAACTATTTCAATGCGCAAGCGCTTCTAGGTATTCCTCATTTATCTTTCTTATAAGCATTTGAGGTTAAGAACAGCGACCGTACAGTGTGTTATTGCTAATTAAATTAGTTTGATTTTGTCCTGTGTACAAATTACACCGTGCGACTTAATATGTAAGTATTAATTGTGTAAAGTATAAAACATACATCGAATAAAATTTGATCAAAAACTGATTACAAAAATATTTTTTCACTTGAAAACAGGTTTCCAATCCAAGTGAGGAATCCCAATTGTTTGACTGATGAAGAATTAGCTGCTTTTCATGATGAAGATCTATCTGAAGAACAAATAGTGGGTGGAGACGATTCAGCAGATTCCGAAGAACAATTCGAACTTAGTGAACATGAAAGCAATTCAGAACAAGAGGCTAGTGGCGATAACAATGTCGATAATTTGGTAAATGAAGATGAACATTCAGATTATTCAGTTACGGCAACAACAGCTCTTCAAAATGCAAACGATGGCGATGGTCCAGTTTACAAAACAAAGCATAACTTGGAATGGAGCAAATTGCCTCTGAAGAAAAAGTCAAAGACACCTGCAAAAAACATTTGTAAAGAACGTTGTCATCCCCTCGTCCCAAAAAGTGAGATATCAAACGAAATATCTGCTTTTGAGAAATTTATAAATGCTGCGATGGTTGAAGAGATTGTAAGATGTACAAATATTTTTATCAGAAGAAAACAGGAAAATTATGCGCGAGAGAGAGATGCACGTGAGACAAATAAGGAAGAATTTTTGGCATTCTTGGGACTGCTGATTCTCTCCGGTGTAAAAAAACAAGGTCATACCAATTTTCACGAATTGTTTAGCGCCGACGGAACGGGAATAGAAATATTTCGAGCTTGTATGAGCGCAAACCGTTTCTTGTTTCTTCTTTCTGTAGTCCGATTTGACGATGTGGGCACTAGAGAAAACAGACGCATAACCGACAAAATGGCAGCAATACGACATATATTTGATGCATTTGTTGCAAACTGCAAGGGCTCTTATTGCGTTGGAGAGTTTATGACAATTGACGAGATGCTGATTCCTTTCCGAGGAAGATGCAGTTTTATTCAGTATATGCCAAACAAGCCGGCAAAGTATGGACTAAAAATTTTTGCTTTATGCGATTCCAAAACATTTTACTTGTCTAATTTAGAGCTTTACTGTGGCAAGCAGCCAGACGGACCTTATGTCTGTGAAAATTCTCCACAAGCAGTTGTCAGTAGGTTGACAAACGACTACGTTGGAAAAAATAGAAACTTGACGACTGACAATTGGTACACGAGTTACCCACTTGCAGAGGATTTACTAAACAAAAAAACCACATTAGTTGGCACATTGAGAAAAAATAAAAAAGAGATACCTGCCGAACTATTACCTAATAAATCACGACCAATTCCATCTTCAATATTTGCGTTTCGGAAGGATATGACGCTAGTATCCTATTGCCAAAAAAAAAATAAAGCTGTGATACTACTCTCGACTATGCACGCCGACGATATTGTCGACAGATCTTCAAATAAGCCTGATATCGTTTTGTTTTACAATTCTACTAAAGGCGGAATTGACACCGTTGACGAAATGTGTGGTAATTATTCGGTACAAAAACGAACAAGACGCTGGCCTCTGGTTCTTTTTTTCCAAATGATTAATATTGCGGGAATAAACTCTAACATAATTTATAAATACTTTCACATAGACTCCAATAAACAGCCACGACGTATTTTTCTGAAAAACGTTGCATTGTCTTTGATGAAGCCTCATCTGGAAACTCGAGCAAACATTGAGACGCTTCCTATAGATATAAAAGGCTTTCTTTCTAAATATAAAAAAACTTCAACGAACATTGAGAGGAATGTTACAAGAAATCGAGGTAAATGTGTCTTTTGCGAAAGTAAGAAAAATCGCGTTACAACCATCACATGCGACTTGTGTGGTAGACTAGCATGTAAAGAACACGTAGTAAAAACACAAGAATGCGTAAGCTGTCGTAAAAGTAGAACAGAAGAGCAAGAATAAAGTCTTATTCTCATTGTTTTAGAATTGAATTTTTGTTTTTTGTTTCTCATTTTTGTGAATTTAAAGTTATTTTATGTTGTATGTTCTAAATTTAAATAAAACCCTAGAGTATTTTTGAATTTGAATTTTGAATTGTTGAATTTTTCTTATTGTACAAGTTGGTTAAAATCATAAAAATTATAAAACTGAAATAAAAGAAAAGCTTAAAAAGTCCAAAAACGTGATGGTGTATAAAATACACTGTGCGACCAATTAATAAACAAGACAAAGCGCGAGTAATTAAGGGTTAAAATTGTGTGCTTCTTAAAATTTAGTTTTTCGTAGTTTTGTCCAAATAAATCTTACGTGATAACAAAAAATGAAGTACATATCCGTAATGAGGAATACTTAATATGCAAAAACATCGTTAAAACAGAAACAGGTTTTTAACATTTAAATTTTGCAGGTCTGTTTAATGTTTACATAGGTAGATGCAATAAGATCCGTAGTATCATACTTAATTGTTACTTCTACAGTCAAATAATGTTTAAAAATTGTTTGCTGTTTCAACAGCAAAACTGGAATTACCCAAGGGTTACATGATCAGTAGAAAACTAGTTTTGAAGCTTTTTTGCATTTTGAAAGAAGAGTCAATATTCATATTTTCTAAGTATGCATTCCTGAGCGTACGATAATCATCATTGTAAAAGTACAAAAGTGAAATAATTGTTTACTCTAAATACCGAATATTGTCATAAAACGGATAGTAATAGCCTAATAGCTGGCTAAGTAAATTTTAATTACCTACTGAGGGTGATCAACTTTTTTCTTTTTACTTCCCAGCCAGCGTAAGCTTCTATGGCGTTATTAAGAATGGCATTCTAATTTAATATCATCAATTTCAATTTTATTTTTTCGATGGACAAAAATTTTGTACATACCTACTTATTTAAGTACTAACGGAACCCACCTCCAGAAGATATAATATCAAGAAGCTCTTTTGCACTTTCGTCATTTCCATCATAAATTTGGTACAAGTCATTGTGCTTAATCATAATCGCAAAGTTCCAGCGTGACAAAAACTCTTTCAGCGTTTCTCCTTTGGCAAAAGTGCACATTTGTAAAAAAAATACTTTTGAGGACCACTCGAATATGTACATTCTCATATTTTAGGAATATCGTAGTCACATTAAAAGTATGACGAAGGTTCAAATGAACTAGCGACTTCAATCAAAAAACAAACAAAACAAAGTCAACAGTAATTTTATATGGCAGCTGATCGTAAGACAAAATAACCACACACAAAAGTATCGATAAATGAAACAAATAAATTCGCTGGAAACTATTACTCTATAAAACCTTCTTAATTAACCCACAATGCAATATATGATTTGGCGATTAAAAGTTGAATCGGTAGGTTTAACTGAAATCAAAGGTAGTACGAACCCAAAACTCTGATTCTACATTTGTTTTGATAAATGAAAGAATGAGGCGAATTTGCATATCAAAGAGTTGCGATTTAGTAGATATAATTGTTTTTACTTCCCAAACGTAAGCTAGAGTACGAAAAAATAGGTTTTTCGTTTCCGTCTTCATGTCTGCCTGTCTGTCGGTCTGTTTGTCTATATGCCTATGTCTATATACACACAGAAGAGTATAATTTATGCTTTCATGAACCTAAAACGTAACGTGCCAAGGAAGTACACTTGCTGAAAATAAAGCAGAAAACGACTTATTTGATTTATACGAAAACGTTCCATGTGTAAAACAAGTTTTTTTGTTCAAAATTACAAAATTCCATGTCGACAAAGATTAGTTGTTTTAAGTAATTGTAAAGTGTCTTGGAATAATACAATAACGTTTTGTTCAGAATTTTATTCAAAAGAAGGATCTAGCTTTAAGACATGATTTCTTCAAGTTTGGTAATTGGACTTGACATAAGAAAACTTCATAGGGCTAAGATTATTTTCTTTTCATTTACAGATGCTGTGGGACGTTTTCCAGTTTGAGTCTAGGTGAGTCCGTAGTAGAATTTAAAGTTTTTGTAGTTTAAAACCCCATATATGGGGGTTTTGCGTACATTGTGTGTACAATTAAATGGTTAAAATGGACAAATTATCCTAACTTAAATCTTTAAAAATTTAATATACTGACCGGCAAAAAAACGACCACCTTTCGCAAAGTCGCTTTAAAAAGTATTAATTTATCTTGTAATGGTTATTTTATTTAGAGAACCATTCGCTGTACACAGGATGTACAAATTAGCTAAAAAAAGAGACAAACAAATACAACCGCTAGTTAAAATATGATTTTTAAAGTGGTTTTTCTTTTTCCGGTCAGTGTATGTATAAAGATTATTCGTTAATTGTAATGACGGTCTCAAATTTTGTAATTTTGGCATTGAATTTTGTAAGTTGGCGACCAAACCCCAAACTAATTTTTTTCGAGATTGTAGGCTTTTGATTGTCGAAACAATACATTTGTTGAGCGATGTCTCATATTTTGAAATAAAATAAATTTTCACTATTTTGTCCTTTCAACAAAATTTTTGTTTTCATTGTAATGTTTCATCCTACGTGGTTTGAAGTGATCTCCCTCTTTGCGAATCCTCTTATTCAGTTTTTTATTGGTCGGTCAGTCATTTCGAGTTTAACATTTTATTTAACAGGACGTTACAATTCCATATAAGCTTTACGGATTTCTTAATATTTAGAAAGTTAATAGTTATTTATAGAATATTTATTTTTATGACAAACAAAACGATGAATGATTACGGGACAAAGAATTTAATCTTTGAATTCACAAATAGCGATAAATCTAGTGATGGAATAGATGCAAACATTTGAAGAATTAATATTTATAAAAATGGACAATAACAGGAATTAATATACTATATAATTCGTATCACATAAAATATAAATGAATCATGAATTGGTGCAGATGAATGAAAATTTCATTTATCTTTCTCGATGGGATCTGCTACCTATCTATATCTTTTATTATTAATCAAAGTGTGTGGTATCACAGAATTTGGAATAGTTATATATCAATTTTGGATAAATTTCGGTAATTAATATACAATTAACAATGGAAAAGTTACAATTTACAGAATCTTTCAAAGACATCAACGTATCTAACAATAGTACATTTAGTAGATTTAGGATACGTCTGGAACACCTCCCATCTACAGAATTTTGATATAGGGGAGATGTGTGTAACACTATTGCCAGTAATTTCATACTTTGTATTTTCCATTCCAATAAGTGCAATTCAAAGCACTGGAGTAAACAATAATTATTATTTCAATTTTTAATTTTCTAGAAGTTAGCGCTTCTGGATATTCCGCTCCACATGCTTTAACTAGACATCTTAAACTTGAATAACCATCTATTTATGTGTATTTTTTCACTGTAGCAAGTAAGAAAGAATTTGTTTCTGGTACACATTTTTTTTGCCATCAACAAATCAATGAATTGTGCAATTTCTTTGGAAATAAGAACTGGAACGGTTTTGTGACATTTTCCTCTAATGCGAATTCTTTTTTTTTTCAGTCACAGTTTTTCCCTGTGTTAAATTTTGTTAAAATTCTTCAGAAATGATATTATTTTCTTGTAAATATCTCTCCAACTGAAGCCTCTCCAACTCTTCAACACATCATCGATTTAGCGTTATAAGCAATGTGTAAGAACATTTTTGTAAATCGTAAATCTTGGTTCTATTTCAAATTCTATACGCATTGTTTTACTTTTGCGTGCACAAAATTATTTAGCTTTTTAATGTCTGAACGAAAAGGGGTTATTGTTCGTTTATGCCACTGATTTTCAACTAAATTTTAATTCTCCACACTGTTGACTTCCGCGTCAGCATGATGAGTGTTTATAAAATGTAACAATTTTGGTAAAGAATGTTTTGTATACACTGTTGTGTGCCGGAACGGAATAATTGTCTTCAAAAACTACTAAATTTAATGCTGCTTGATGGAAATACAATGTTGGACTCCTTTCATGATAGGAATCAGCCGTCTTAAATATGTTGGATGGCTTTTGATAATGAAGAATTGTTTACAGTTCTCATGGAAAGCGCAATTATTGATATTTACGAAAGAATGTACATTCCGATGATTTCGGCTGTATGCATATTAATATTATTGATATTTGAACATGATAAAAGAAATTATGCCAATACATATAACAATACATAGCAGAATACAAATACAAATATTCGTCACATTGGTGTACGTAACAACACATTGGCACTTATAGCTTCACCTCTTGCACGCCCTACGCAGGGTGCAGACATTCCAGCGTTGGAAATGGCACACCAAAAATTTGTCTTCAAACTTCTTTTTTTCTTTGAATCATTCATTTGGATAGTTTTCCAGGTCGTTCGTGTAGAAACCCTCATTCCCCTTTATTTCTGAATGAGATAATGTAATAGTATATTCTTTAACGAGCATGTAATGAAGGCTATTACGACACGAGGATGAAGAGTTTCACACGAGCGAAGCGAGTGTTCGAATTCATCCGAGTGTAATATTAGCCCATTACATGTGTTTGGTTCTTAGTCGTTGAAAATAAATAAGCGGACTGTATTTTTACTTTGTTTTATTTTAACTTCCTTCGATGGTTACATTGCAACGATCCGACTTACACTGCTAATGTCCACACAAAAATGTCATGATATTAGGGGGGAAATAGCCCGTCCAAACCCCGCCGCCAGAGGTGGTGCGAGCCGCACTTCAGACGGCGGCCGCCTTACAAGGTTGAGGGTCCGCACACGTGCAGCTGCCTTACAAAGACACCGCCAACACGTGGAGGCCGCACCGACAAAATATAAAAAATGTCTTAAACAACATGCGAGTAAAAGACACTATTTTAATTACGACTGAATAAAAAGTTCTGCAGTTAAAAATTTATTTTTTATTTTCCAACATTTATTAATTACAGTTAGTAATATTGATGCAACGGGGAGATGCAATATTAACATCATTATTCACTTTTGAATTTGATATTCCAGCTTCAGAATTAGGTCTTGATTCTTCCGATTGCGTTTTACCCAAAGAGCAATGTGGGTCTAATTGACGTATAATTTTTGTGCACTGGATTGTCATCCCCCATGCATTTTTAAATCTATGATATTTGGTCCTCCATCGGTAAATATTGTTGCTGAAGATCTTCACAGGCAATAGCCCATATATTTTTCAGGATTTGGTAAATTTAAATAAGTGGTTATTTGTTTGCTAAACGATCTAAATTTATTAATTACAATTATTTGAACGGTGCATTTGCCAAAGGAAATTTAAAAAGATTGAATTTGTAGTTACTTTTGATGGTTGCAACGAAATGTAGTTTTTAACAATACCATAAAATGAACTAGTAATTGAAAACTGGCGTGTTGCTTTATTTTTTGTTTCCGGAATGTCAACGAGAAACGCTGTTTGATGGTCATGAACATAATCTGTTTTCATTACATAAAGATCAATGGAACAACCTATAACTCCCATAATCAGGGTAACCTTCAAAATGAAAAACGTTATTGATTAATTATTAATTTTTAGTTTTTGAAAAGTTGCTACCTTAATGGCCAGGTATTTATCATCAGGAGCTTTGTCAATGAATTTCCGTATTTCTTCCGTTGTGAAGCTTTCTTCAATTTGTTCTTTTTAAAAAGAAATGGAGCTTTCTGTAATTTTCCATGTTCACGTCCTGATGGATACTTAACGTTGCCTTTAACATTGAGTATGTCTTCCACAGCAAAGAAGGCTTGTATTTTTTTTTTACAAATCAATAAAATACGCCAAGATAAATATTATTTTCCGAAAACGAATTGGTGTTTTTGTGAGTTCTCCAGTTCATAAATGTATTGGAAGCGGCTTCGTAGTTTTTTTTTTTTTATTAATTTTTTGGGCAACAAATTTAAAATAGCAGTTGAAGCACCTTCCCTAATTTCAGGCGGTGTACAAATCATCACTGTCGTTCTCCATTTTCACAAAAAGACAGGGAAAGAAAACACTTAAAATACCATTTGAAATAATCTTATTTGTTTGTAAAGTAGCTAGATTATTATAAGAGTTTTAATTCAGAATGTTTTGGGAAGAAACGAAACTTAACAAATTATTTACAAGCTATGTATAACTATTCTTTGCACAATAAGCAAAGGTAATGTTTTGTTATCTGGGACGGACTGAGTGTACTCTTTATTATTGTCCCGTACATTTTGTTATTTTTAACTTAAGTAATTAATTCCTAATGTAAGGTGTTACCTCATATTTTTGTATGTATTTACATTTTGTTGAATAATTTATTAAATTGTTACTTATAGACCTATGCGCGTTAATTGTATAATAACCGTTTGTGGTGTACGACGTCCAGCTTCTCCTCGCGGATGCGGCGGACGAACTCGCTGTTTCTGTTTGTGGCGTAGAATTTCTTGGTGTAATCCTTGATGTAACTTCTAATCAGTGATAATCCCGTGGCTTCTTGGAGTTCCCTTATTCTTGTGTATCGCGCTGCCCACGTGATAGTCGCATGCATTTGTTTTGTAGTATTTCTAGTGGTTCCATGGCATAATTTGACGAGTGACTCCAGGCTGGGACTCCATATGTTAGCAAGGGGCGGCTTGTCTGTTTGTAAATGATGAGTTTATTCTCTTCAGAGTTCGCGATATTTTTGGCCAATAGCAGGTATAGTGTTCTTATCGCGATGTTTCCTTTGGTTACGGTCGCTTTCCTTTCCGATTCGGTCCAGTTCTCGTACCAAATCTGCCTCAGCCTTTCACGTATACAATTACGCCTTTGTTTTGGAGTGGTACTCTGCAGTTCATTATCACTTATATGTCTATTCACCGGAAGTTGTCTGTTTTTCTTTAGAGCAAATGTTAAGCTCCACTCTATTGCTTGTAGGTGTCATGGGAGTTCACCCAATAACACCTGCAAAGCCTCAGTCGACATGGTACTACACACTGGGAGAACTGTAAACATCATTGTTCTTTGGCATCTGTCAATAGTTCTTCCTAT